CCCAACCCCCGCCCCAATGCCCCTCACCCAGCCCCATCCCAGCACTTAAAAAAAAGACCTGCACTCACTGGGTCTGGCAGCGATGATCAGGACCCGTGAGGGCTCGTGGCAGAGTCCCGCATGCAGTGCGGGGCAGCGGGGTTCACCCCTCCTGCCTGGTACCCACATGGCAGCTGTCACATCGTGACAGTGCAGTGTGGCTCGTCAGGGCGCAGCGCGCTGTCTGGGAGTGGGGGTGCCAGCACTTAAAAAAAAGACCTGCACTCACTGGGTCTGGCAGCGATGATCAGGACCCGTGAGGGCTCGTGGCAGAGTCCCGCATGCAGTGCGGGGCAGCGGGGTTCACCCCTCCTGCCTGGTACCCACATGGCAGCTGTCACATCGTGACAGTGCAGTGTGGCTCGTCAGGGCGCAGCGCGCTGTCTGGGAGTGGGGGTGGCTCCAGCAGTCAGGCGGAGCCCAGCACCGCTCAGTCCCAGTGGCTTCAGCTCCCAGACGGCGTATAGCACCCTGCTGAGCTGCACTGCCACCCACTGCCCCGCACTGCATGGGGGAGGGGTTCTGCCATGAGCCCTCAGAGGCCCTGATCAGTGATCACCACTACTGCAGCTAGTGAGTTCTAGGCTTTTTTTTTTTTAAGTTCTGGGAGGCTGGGGCCAGGCAGGGCAGCCATGGGGGCTTCTCCCACAGCTCCCCCCACCCAGGGAGAGGCAGAGCTGGAGGAGCTGTGGGAGAACCTGCAACTACCCGGCTGTGCCTCTCGCCAGCCAATCCGAATCAGTGCCGAATCTCCGATTCTGATTCAGCCAAATCGAATGGGGACAGCGATTCGAATCACCGAATCGAATCGAATACTTCCCTGTTAGCACAGGCCTATTAAACACTGTTATTCTAGCAGAGGGGTATGAAAATCAAATTGTTCCATATTTCCTGCTTTGACACCAAGACTGCCAGAGGTCCACCTTTTGGCTGGGACGCTGACTGCCACAATGCGAAGACTGTGCTGCAGTCAGAGTCCCTTCCTATTGCTGGGGAAAGTGCTGGCATAGTGACTACTTGCAGCCACTGCCACTCAGTTGCCACTTGAGTTGCCAAGTGTGCATGATTCTCATGGCCACCAGAGCAGTAAATTTAGTGGTGATGAAAACTCTGTGAGTAGGTGACTTCTCCCCCTGCTCTTCCATTCCAGCCCTAGGAAAAGACAGTGGGCCAGATGACTCACCTCCAGCCATATCCAGCCTGACAAACATTGACAGCCCTGTTCTAGTATAACTCCATCTGTACTATTGTTTACTCACATAACTACGACAGTAAAATATCACTGAAACAAAATATCTGTTCCAGTAAAACTTAAGAGAAGAACAGTAGTATTACTGAAATACTATAATAAGATGATTAAGTACTGGAGAATACCATAGAAAATTTATTTAAAATGAAAATATAATCTGTTTTTTTCTGATTTTTTTAGCAAATATAGGCTTGACTTGCTATTGAACTTCTAATTGAACAAACTTTTTTTTTTTTTTTTAGATCAATGAATGTATTCCTGATTGTCTACCTCTGTATTCTAATAAGTAAAGCATTAATAAATACAGCCTTGAAGTATGTCTGGCAGAGTGATCCGTTTCGTGATGAACCATGGTATAACCAGAAAACTGAATCGGAAAGGAAAAGAAATCTGGTATGGAAAATAACTTATTTTTGCAAAACATATGAGAAATGCTTGTTAGTAGAATCACCAGAAAACAAGATAATTTATAACATTTAGCAGAATTGTGCATCTAATTTCTACAGAAATTTTGGAAAAATTTAGTGAGCATAGATATTTTTTTAATTAATCTGTCAGAATACAAATGAGAATCCTAACGATTAAAGTTAATAAGTATTTTAAATTTTTCTGGATCGTTTTAAAAATCTCCCTCCCTGCCCCCCAAAGCAAAGGCCTTTCTTTGCCCCATCTTGATCTCTTCTCGAAAAGCTTTGTCATCATCTTCCACTTAGAGATCAGAAGGCAATATTTTACAGTTAGGGTGGCCAAAATCTGGAACCAACTTCCCAGGGAAGTGGTCCTCGCCCCTACCTTGGGCAAATTCAAGAGGAGGTTGGATGATCACCTGTCTGGGGTCTTGTGAACCCAGCATTCATTCCTGCCTGTGGAAGGGGGTCAGGCTAGATGATCTGATCAGGTCCCTCCTGACCCTAGCTTCTATGAAACTTACCTCCTGCTCCCCTTTTTTTTAAGAACCGAAACAAAATTCAGTTGTTTATACCACATTGGAATTCAACTAATACCTGGAGTTTGATACTTCAGACTAATCTAAGTACAATGCATGAAATGTATCAGCTACATTTCTCTACTAAAATGATCATCAGTGAAATAATAAATGATCTTGAAATTCTTCAGTCTTATCTGTCTATACAGAAAAATGGACTATGTGGCAGGATTGTTGAACCGGGGCATACCATGCTGTATATTCTTCTGTGAATTACCGCCATTTGTTCTGATTGGTTTTTATAGACTGATGAACATAACCATGTAGTAATTCATTTAGAAACAGATCTGTGCAATCATATGGACATATTATGTATGCATACACTTTGATACCTCAAGCTAAGAAAAGGAAACTCCTTTATTTGGTGTTCATGGAATACTTGAAGCCTGCATAAACCAGTAAAACTTCCGTGCTTTTACATTTATTTTTTTTCCTTTTCTGATGAATATTTTATCAGCTATACTTTTAGTTGTTTTCATAACTTATATTTTGTCTTTCACTCCACACCCTCTAGAACTGTTAACACATTTATATGTAATTGAAACTGAGAGCTCTGTGCCTGCGCATGTAAAAGAGATTCTTATAGTATGTTGAGAAAGAGAGCTTTCTTCCTCATTTTTCATTAGTAGTAAAGTCATAATCCTAACGGATGTACAAAGTGTGCCAAACATTGACTTCACTATAGAAAGAAGCACGGAAAGAAAAATTGTAGTGGTGGAAAAATGCGGATTTTATGCTATCAATATCCAAGAACATTTTTCTTACAAATAGGTTCACTTACTGCTTGAAAGGTATTCGGTATATAATCTTGCAAATGTGTATTTTAACTTTTAAATTTAAGTTGATATGTTGGGAAAAATCATCTTCTGGTTTCATTTCTTTGGCAGTTTCTTAGAGCATTTACCGACTTCCTTGCATTCATGGTTCTTTTCAACTACATTATTCCTGTATCCATGTATGTTACTGTGGAAATGCAGAAGTTTCTTGGTTCTTATTTCCTTACGTGGGATGAAGAAATGTTTGATGAGGACACAGGTGAAGGCCCTTTGGTGAATACGTCTGACCTCAATGAAGAGTTAGGGCAGGTAAATTAGTCATACAAGTTCTAACTGCTGGTAAATTTATTAACTGTTTCTAATAGTCAGTTATGGGCATTTTTAGCTTTAAAAATCAACTGTTACTTCAAATTTTGTTCTTAGATGTGACCTGTATTTCAGATACATTCATTAATTTTAGATGTTCAACTTGAGATGCTTGAGGCCTGATTTTTCAGAGATGATGATTAACCACGTAAATCAGTGGGAAACCAGTGACAGTTTTAGATGTTCAGAGCTTCTGAAAAATAGGCCTTATATTTGTCAAGATGAGCATCCAGACTTGGTGAACCCAACCAAGTCTTAATGAACACTTCTCTCGCATACCTCGGTGTAAGGGGACAGCACTCATTTTCATCATTATGCTAACAATGTTCCACATAGCATTTGTGTCTCTTCACATTTATTGTTGAAAATTAAATCAGAATCATGAAAGTGAAGGCTTTATTTATTCTATGGACAGTAATCCCCACAGGATTTTCAGTTTCCTGAATAATCTCTTGCTTTGGGTCTTTGTCAAACAACATGTTACACTTCCACATCTTGGCAGGTTGAGGGGTATGCATTAGTCAGTGTCAGTACTGACAGTTTATGCCTGGCTTAAATCTCATTAGTTTGGGCACTTCTCACATCAGCAAATTTCCTGTCTTGAGTTTGCCCCTGAAAAAGGAAAGTACCCTACCCTTTCGATTTCCTAAAAACCTGCACGTTGTTGTATTCTATATTATCAGAATGGGTACTTGGAAGCAGATATGCAGGTTCATTTTGGAAAGAGTCTATGGTTTCTGGCACATGTTACACTTAAGATGCAGTTAACCAGTTAATCATGTCATAACTAGTTACATGGCCACATGTTAATGCAATTAATGGTGTGATAAAACAACAAATAAACCACTAAGTTATAACACAAAATATGTGTAATAAATTTGTGGCTAGTTCCTGTCACACCATTAATTGAACATGTGCCGAGAATGGGGCTCCCGGCCACAGGAGTGCATGATAGCCCAGATTAGATGACAGCTTCCCCCCCCTTCCCCCCCCACCTGAGAGTCCAGATTAGCTGATGGCTTCCAGCTGCAGGAGCTTGCTACTTGCCTTTGCAGGGGGATCCCTGAATCAAGATCCCAGTCCTGAGCTCCCCCTACACTAGCAATAAGGTATGATGGGATCTGATGCTAGATCCCACAATCACATGTGGCATGGCAAGAAGCACAATTGTAGGGCTTCTACATCGGATCCCATAGCACCTTTAATGACCCACCTGCAGTTAAATGTATTAATTTAATTTAATTGCCTACCTGCAATTGTGGGGCCTGCAAGGTACACCAGTTTGTTAAAAAAAATTCCCACATTATTAATTTTAAAAAATCAGTAAGGGAATGCATCAATTTTTAGCAATCAAGGTATCATGTAACAATTTGGGGATCAGCTATTCTAAATGTTCTGCCATGCTAAACCAAACTTATGCTATGTAAACTAAAAGTGGTTCCAAAGAGAAGATACCTCACAACTAACTCCATTCTTGTACAAGAAATTAACTTTTTTTGCACGTTCTTTGTAATATAATCTTCACTCTGTGTGTAACCAAGGCTTTGATTTTTGTATAATTGTTGCCATTTGTGACACTTTTATTTTCTCTCAGTTTTATCCTAGCATAAACATTTTATTGCCTCAAATTATTATGTACTGGGTACTATTTCTAATTTATGCTCCTTTTATACATAAAGGAAATTTACAGGTTGATATTCTGTCATTAGAGTAGATTTCATTTCATAATTTGATACTAGGAACTTGAACTGGGATAATATTGTAAAGGTCACCTTGAAGAGAAACTGGAAAGAAGGGGTATAGTTATTTTTGGAGCAAAAAGAAATGGCAGTCATGGAAAATTTGGTCTTCTCACTTATTCAGTGGCTGTTAGATAGATTAATAGGAAGAAACCCAGCAATTGAGTTAAAGTCTAACTTTTTTCTTGATGACTAGTAGTAAAAATTAATTATTTATTATATTTAATACACTTAATGTTAACTTCAACTTTAAAAATATTATAATAGTAATTGAGAAAAATGATGCATCTGCTAGAGCCGCTGTCAGTTCCCCTAAAAAGAAAACAAAAAAATATCTTTGAGCAGACCTCATAGTCTAGTATCTCTGTTCTCCCTGCTTATAGTTTTCTTTCTGCCAGTATAAATATTGAATTGTAAGGTTTTGTGAAAGATGAAACCAACAGTAAAAAAATAATCTGGGAAAAAATCAAGGTGCATTGAAATAGTGCCAAATCAGATCGGCACTGATAAAAGGAAAATTAATGTTATTGGCTATCAGCATTTTTTTGGCTGGTGTAGTCAGTAATGTACCAATAAATATAATGTGCCTCCTGGCTGGAGCCCAGGACACTGCATGCTTGTGCACAGTTGCAACATGCACATGCCAGAAATGCAGCTGGGCAAGCAGGTAAGTCTGTGGAGAGGGAGGGGAGGAAAGGGGCATGGAGGGGCACAGATTGAGGCCCCCACAGTGAAGGAGGAACCCCCCAGGTTTGTGCATGGGGCGAGGACAGAGGTGGACTGCCCTCTGTGGGCTTGGGGAACTCCGCCTTGCTGTCTTTGCCCCAGGAACTCTGCACTGGTTGTGCCTGCCCTGCCCATCCAGCACTGGTGACGTTGTGCCTCCCACTACTGAACAGGCAGGGGATGCGTGGCCACTGCGCAGTTGCCAGGCAAAGGCAGCAGGGCGAAGAGCCCTGAGCCCACAGTGGGCAGCCCGCCTCTGTCCTCACTGCATGCACAAACCTGGGGGGTCCCTACCTCACTGTGGGGGCCTCAGTCTTCCCCCCCACGCCCCTTCCCTCCCCCCTCCACTGTAAATTGGTTAACAGATTGGTATCACCCAATATGCCTGGTGAATAATCGGCTATTGGTATTGGCCAAGAAAATCTTTATCGGTGCCCCCCTAAAAAATAGTTGCTAGATTTAGGCTTGTCAGCTGCTGTAAAGTAACTGTCCACATTGCCCTCTTTCACCAAGCCTAAACCTAGCAGTATGCACCCTCCCCCTTTTAGCTTGCATGTATATTTTTCCATATCCACTGAGTGATAAACTACTTGGTTTAGCTTTCACTTAACCCTTACAGGACACACAACAGTTACAATGAAGTAGCAAACTTATAGTAAGTCCCCATCCCATTTTTACTTGCTGTAATTTGTTTGCCTATACCTAAAATTCAAAATCTGTCCATAAATATATAGACAAAGTATTAATATACTGACAAATAGAAGTCATGTATCATGTTTTTCAAGAAATACTTATTGTAGCAAGCGAGACATTTAGCATGGTAAAAGAGGAAAATTAAGCTTATTATGCACATTATTGGGTAAATATAGCTCTGTTATCCCAGGGACTTTTGGGTAACACAGTTTTGATGGAAGTTGACACCCTAAAGGTTTTGAGTTATTTTATTTAATTATTCTTTGACAAAAGCTAGCAACTAGTCTTGCAAAAAATCATACCCAAGTGTAAATTTAGGGACAAACAGATTTCTCAAGGTTGGGCAACATGTTCCAATCCCTTTTTGTTAATATATTTCCTTTTAGGTTGAATATGTGTTCACAGATAAAACAGGAACATTAACTGAAAACAACATGGAATTCATAGAGTGCTGCATTGAAGGGCATGTTTATATACCTCATGTCATCTGTAATGGGCAAATCCTCCATGACTGTACCGGCATTGATATGATTGACTCTTCTCCAGGAGCAAGTGGGAAAGTATGATGCACCTTTAAAGTTTTGTGGGGGTTTGAAATATGAAAATTGAATAAGGTTAATAAAAGAAATCCTATAAGTATAATATTCTGGGATTTTTCATATTGTTGTAAGAATTACATTACAGCATATATACTTCCCTCTCTTAATTTAGATTAAGGTATTTATTTGCATAATAAAGCATTTCTCAATAGAATCCATCTTTTAAAATGGTCAGATATCATCATTAAATAAAAAACAGAATAGGAAACTTTGCCTGGCTGATCCCTATATTTTTGTACAGTTGACCAGTTTCCATTTTAAATCAGCCATGATAAGGAAAACAAGGCAAAAAAACCCTGATTTAAAAGTGGGAAACAGGTGAAAATATTGAATTATATATCTTTAGCAGGTGTAAAATGGGCATTTGGATAGTTTATTTGACATTCTGAATCCTTATGTTTCTCATCCTTGAGGGTACAATCTGCAGGTGAGTTGTATAGTTTTTCTCTTCAGATCAAAACTACAAAAGCAATTCTGCTGTGAATGTAGGACATATACAACAAAGTATAGCTAAAAAACAAGTTGCAACTCATAGCTATTTATACCTAATAACCTATATGGTTACAAAACTCAACCAAATGTCCAGGAGCTAGCAGTTACTATTTCAATATGTTTTCCAAGCTGTACTCAAGAGGAAAGACCTGCCTTTGCTACTCTCTGAGACTGTCTGACAATGTCTCCCTGCTTAGAAGTGGTGGGAGCAGTGATCTGCAATTGGTCCCTATCCCAATAACTCTAAACTTCCCCCCTGGCTGTGTCTAGATGAGCATGGCTGTGCGGTATGTGGCACCACAGACATGTCTGCAGTGCCACATACCACACATTCAGCTGTTCTCTGTGCTGTAAGGGAGCAGCACAGGGGGCAGGGGAGGAGGCTGACCTCTGAATATCCATGGGTTAAAAAAACCTATGCAAAAAACAAGAGGAGCAGCACATGCAGGGACAGTGTGCGCCACTCAAAACCAGAGCCTGGCTGGCCGGAGTGATGCTCCAGCTGCTAGCCAGGCTCCAAGTGGCAGATTTGCCACTGCTGCAGCCCCAGATGGACCCCAGGACCCCAGGTAAGGCTGTTGGGGCCATCCCAGTGCTGGTTCCACCCTCCTCTCCCGTACCTGGGTTCTGTGCTGCATCCGGTTTTGTTCAACATTTTCATCAGTGACCTGGAAATGGGAGTACATAATGAAATCTCCAGAGTTGGCGGATGATGCTAAATTATTCCAGGTAGTCAGATTCCAAGCTGGTTGACAAGCTGCAGAAAAATCTCTCAAAGATAAGTCAGTGGGCAAAAAAGTAGCAAATGATCTTCAAAGTCAGCAACTGCAAGGTAATGCATATATAGAAAAACAACCTCAACTATACATACATGAAGCTGGGCTCTTAACTAGCTGTTAACTCAGGAAAGAGACCTTGGACTGATTGTAGATGGTTCTCTAAAACATCAGTTCACTGTGCAGCTTTGACTAAAAAGCTAAAAAAAATGTTGGGCATTATTAAGAAGGAGATTGAAAATACAATGGAAAAAATCATCAGGCCACTATATAAATCTATGATGTGCCAGTATTCACACCTTGAATACTGTGTACAGTTCTGGTCTCTGCATCTCAAATAGGATGTATTGGAATTAGAAAAGGTACAGAGAAGGACAACCAAGATGATCAGGGAGATGGAGCAGCTGCCTTAGCAGGAGAGCCTAAAAAGACTCAGTTTGGAAAGGAGAAGGCTGAGGGCAGATATGATAAATGTCTATTAAATCCTGAAAGGCGTGGACCAAGTAAATAGGGAACTGTTGTTATTCATCATGTCCCAGAATACTAATACTAGGAGGCACCTATTGAAATAAGCAGAAGACAGGTTTAAAACTAATAAGAGAAAATACTTCTTTACCTGGCAAGTAATTAATTTGTGGAATTTGTCTCAGGAAGTTGTAAAAGATGATAAAGTAGCCAAGTTCAAAAGGGGATTAGACAAATTAATGGATGATCAGTCCATTAACAGCTGTTAAAACAGTCATGGATGTGTCCCCTGACTTTCCTAAATCAATGATGGTGGATGCCAGGGAAAGTATGATAAAGGTTAGGTCACTCTAGATATGCCATGTTCATATCCTGTCCCTCTAACAATTTATTATTGTCACTATTGGAGACAGGATAGTGGCTAGGTGGCCCATTGGTCTGATACAATATCACATTTCTGTACTGCTGAATAATACTATAATTACATTAAATAGTGTCTTTTAAAGAATTCCACACACTTAATTTTACTTTCTTTAAAATTTAGCAGGAAGATAGTTCTTTTGTCTTTGTACTAGTAAGATAGCTCAGACCCAGGCACCAAAGAATATTTTTCAGCCACAGGATTAATTAATTAAATTCTGTTTTTTTCAAATGTATGTTTTATGTAGCTTAAACTTGCCCTTTTTCTCCTGGAGCCAGATTTTTCTGCAGGAACCTATCTACTCCAGACAGCAGTGATTCCTAAACTCTAGCGTTTCAGCCCCAAATACGGTTACAGCACTTAATGAAAGGGTTCATGTGCACCGCCAATTATATCAGACAGGCTCAAACTAGAAATGGGCTTCTGATTTGGCTGGAACTGACGTAACATGGCCCTAGAAGTGGGGTTGCTGTGGGGAAAGATTGGGAATTGCTACCGTGCAGGCTTACCCTTCACAAGCAATCTACCTGAAAGTCTGGGCAAACCTTTCTTCTCCTCCCTTGCTTGTTCCAAGCAGGATTACATTCAGCAGACCAAGAATCTCTTATACAGGAATTACTGCAGAAGTCTGCCTTCCTCTTCCAAACTGCTTACTGTTTTTTATGCTGACCAATTTGATATTTAGAACAGCACCTGACCCTGACCACAAAACCTTAGTTTGGAAACTTCTGTTAGTTCCAATTTCTCAGCTAATAATGCACATTCATAACTATATAAAACCAAGCACAAATGAGAATAGTTTTAATTTTTTCTAAAACAGCATCCTTTAGAAGAAGAATTTAAAATGATAATACATAATTGTAACTTTCTCTTTATTTATTAGGAGAGAGAGGAGTTGTTTTTCCGAGCTCTTTGTCTTTGTCACACTGTTCAAGTGAAAGATGATGACAATATAGATGGACTAAAGAAAAGCCAGCTGTCGAGAAGGCCTTGTATATATATATCCTCATCACCAGATGAAGTTGCTTTAGTGGAAGGAATACAAAGGTACGATTTCACATTGATACTATTTAGGTCTCTGAAGCTTTTTCTCTTATTTTTGTTTTCTTAGATTTATAGAAATACAAATCACTGAAGCAGAAACTTATGTTTATCAGAAAATATAAAACAGCAAAGCACCATAAGCTTATATTGTTCAGTCAAGATTCTGATCTTCTCAATATGTAATAGTGATGTTTTCTAGCTGTGAATGGAATGAAATAAACAGGTAGCTTCTATTTCAGAAAAAAGTTAGTTTTAAAGACCTGGAAATTGCTAAACTACATTATTATCAATGTGTATTACTTGTAATTTTAGAGAATCAAATCGATTTTACATTGAATTTTGTAGGCTTGGTTACACGTATCTGAGGCTGAAGGACAACTTTATGGAAATTTTAAATCGAGAAAATGACATTGAGAGGTAAGTGCTTGTTGAAAATAAACTCACTGAAACTGAAGGGATTTTTAATTGTGTACAACAAATCTCTCTTCCTGAAGGCATGTTCATGTGTAATTAAAAAAATGACAAGAATTTAATGGAAAAAGTTAATGCATTACTGATATTTATAAATAAAAGATATTTTAGTTTTATATTCCAGTTTAAAATCAGTATAATGGAAAAAATGAACATTGATTTAACAGGGTAGTCCACAAGGCCCAAATTGAGCAGCTAAAAGCTGTTGCCAATTTGGCAGTGGCTAAGAGAGTGTTAAAACTATCTTTTGTTTGAGAAGTACCAGTTAGGTACTTGTGTTCAGGATTCAGCCACAACACTGGAAATATCTTTTTTCTTTAATTCCTTTTGGGAAGCCAGAGTGTGGCACGCAAAAACATTTTACTTGGCACACACGCCTTGGGGCAGATGGTGGCGAAGGAGCCAGGGCTGCATTGCCACAAGGATCGGGCCCCTTTCTGCTTCCCTGCTCTCCGCCCCTGGCACACCAACATCTTACAAGTCAAGGTTGCAGGTGTTTTTGACACTGCCCAAAAATCTTGCCAACCCCTGATTTAGAGAGTCATGGGGAAAATGCATTAAAGATGTTGGGACAAAACCCAGGATTTGAACTGTAGTGCTGCTTGCTCTTGCTTGTTTTCTTTCTATCTGTATGTATCTAACATCCTCTCCGTGCAGTGGTACAACTTAAGCAGGTGGAATGGAAAGTACCCTCATCAAACTAAAGTCGAGACTGAGGTTGCTAAGAAATCCGAATTTGAGTCATTTTAGACTGAGAAGGGCTTCAAGCCCTCCTCTCCCATTTTCTGGTCAAGTGCTATAACCACAAAACTAGAAACTCCCAAACTAGGGGTTGTGACCCTAAACACATGAGTATGGATGCTACCCTCATGCATGGGATCATGAGCTTCCAAAAATACAATTATAGTATTTTGGGTTCACACCAGAAGCGGGTTGCCCTTTCATAGATTCATAGATCTTAGGGTCGGAAGGGACCTCAATAGATAATCGAGTCCAACCCCCTGCATAGGCAGGAAAGAACGCTGGGGA